CACTTGTTAAAATAGAGATTACCAAAATGCACCCCCAAACTACCAACTCACACCCTGGAGATGAGGCTCGGAATTTTTAGAAAACTTTGAGAAGCATTGCCATGGAGAACTAGTTCAGCCTGGCTCCTGAATTTCACCTCTATTTTTGACTTCTTATGGGGAAGTTAGTGTTGATTCCAGAGAGTCCCTAAAGAGGACAAGCTCTCACCTATTTCACCTCTATTTTTGACTTCTTATGGGGAAGTTAGTGTTGATTCCAGAGAGTCCCTAAAGAGGACAAGCTCTCACCTAGACCTCCTTAAGCTAGTTCTGGATAGCAGCTCTGGACACCCTCTACTTCATATCCCAGCCTCAGAAATGGCATCTTAAATTTAGGACCAGGCCAACTGGAGTCTTCTCTGTGATGGATCAAAATGGGGATTTTAAGGTAGCTCTACTTAGGATCTACTTTGTGCACTCCTCTCTGTCCGCATAAGGAAACTAGAAAGGTTTCCCTTACTCAAGCACTACTACATTTTATTTCACTGAGAGGAGTTTGGCCAACATCATCTCTCATGAGATTTAAGGAGATTTTCTAGTTTGAGATATCGTTGACCATCATAAAAATGACAGTCTGGTATTATAGAAAGATTGGCTGTGGAGAAGGAATTTCCCATACAGAGTCTGAGTATCTTCTGGATCCCCACACTGCTCAGTTGCTGTCCCCCATCTATCAGCTCTTCAGAAGGAGAATATAGTGTCTAAGGAAGGCGATGATTTTTTTTCTGAGTTTAGCAAGAATGATAATACTCACCTAAGGCAGAAACAAAGTGGGACACCAGTCATTCTTCAGTCTGTAACCAATCATCTGACCAGTCATTCTCTATTCTTTATTCTCCTCTTTTTTTTAAATTCTATAATGAGAAGTAATTCATTTTTTTAAGATTTTATTCATTTATTTGACAGAGAGAGACAGCGAGAGAGAGAACACAAGCAGGGGGAATGGGAGAGGGAGAAGCAGGCCTCCCACCAAGCAGGGAGCCCAATGCAGGGCTCGATCCCAGGACCCTGAGATCATGACCCAAGCCGAAGTCAGTCGCTTAACTGACTGAGCCACCCAGGCACCCCAGTGAGAAGTAATTTAAACTACCATATGCAGCTGTGCTTGCTGGAGTCTACTGAGTCTATGCTATGATTCATAAAAATTACCTCACACAGCATAAGACTTTTTATTAGGATAATGACATTTATCTTACCTATCTCTTATTTTTTCACCAAATGACTTGCCATATGACGTTGGGTGAGTAACTTCGACTATCTGTGGTCAATAGCTCCTATCCATCCTGGTATAAGAATAATGAGTTATAGCCAGTGGAGACTTTGGGCATCATAAGAGGAATCCTAATTTTGCTTAAGTAACAAATAATAAGAGTGTTAACCAATAAGAGTGTTAAACATTGTATTTTAAAATAAACTTGAAAACTACTTAATGCCTATAGAGGAATAGGCAGATGTGTCCGTTCCTAAGCAGTGAAACAAACTGAGGTCCAGAAAAAAAGGAATTTGTTTCTGCCTTGGAACTTATTTTCATGTCCCTGGAAAGATACAGCTAATAACACTCTTCTCTTTCTCAATATAAATCAATAGAATCTCTTGTATGATGAATATATGTTAGAACAGCCCTGGGGAAAGCATATAGATGTTAGTGTTATTCTCTAGGGCATGTGCGCACACACACACACTCCTACACACACCTATACACACACTTATAAATCTGGCGCCATGATGGCTCAGTGTTTCTGAGTCATCCACAAAAAATAACAGATTTCAGTGCAAGCACGTTCTTAAGAAAATGAAGTCATATAGTCAGCTCTTTTCAAGCAGCACTTGGAACAGAGTATCATATTTCCCTTTAAGTTTTAGATGCCCTAGGGGGCACCTGGGTGGCTCAGTTGGTTAAGCGACTGCCTTCAGCTCAGGTCATGATCCTGGAGTTCCGGGATCGAGTCCCGCATCGGGCTCCCTGCTCGGCGGGGAGTCTGCTTCTCCCTCTGACCCTCCCCCCTCTCATGCTCTCTGTCTCTCATTCTCTCTCTCAAATAAATAAATAAAATCTTTAAAAAAAAAAAAGTTTTAGATGCCCTAGTTCAGTGGAAAAAGGTAAAGACCCAACAGATTTTTCTTTTCCATTTCATGACAGATACCTAGGCATTGACAAATTTTTGTCAGCCTTTCCTTACCAGCTCACTCAAAAGATCTAAATGTTGTTTGGGAACATGGTCATGGGAAAATGTTCTCCTGTGATGTGGAAGATAAGATGCTGGGTGCTTGAAACATCCATTAGCAGATATAAAATGGCGACTGGTCAAGGGCAGACAGAGAAGAGCCCTCAGAAGTGGTTGTTTATGGAATAAACAGAGGTAAAGTTTTGGAGATCAATTTGTTGATTTGTAACCTAAATTCCCACAATGTTAAATGGAGGGCAGCAAGAAGGAGAGTCATTGAGTAATTATAGAATGTTCACTTAATTTAAATATTACCATGATAAGCAAAAAGCCCAAATAACAGAAAAATTCAGGTGGCATCATGTTAAATGGAAAAGACAACACATGGAGCAAAGGATGAAAGTCAGAAATACATCAACATATTGATGAAAATTTAGTTTGAGCAAAGATGATCATTCAAATTAGTGGGGAAATAATGTATTATCCAACAAATAGGGTTGGGGCAACTAAGTAGCTCCCTGAAAAAGTAAATTACTCCCTCATACTTACACCAATATAAAGTACAGAAGAATGAAGGAAAATTAAATCATAAAAGCATTAGGAGAAAGCACAGAAAAATACTACAGTCTCAAAATGGAAAGTCTTTCCAACTATGATATGAAACCTAAAATACAATAAAAAACATTGGTCAATACAGCTATGTAAAGGCATGTTTTTACACGCCCTTTCCTCCAAATAAACATCATGAACAAAATCAAAATACAAAGAACACATAGGGAAAATATTTACAACTCTTAATGTAAAGAACTAGTTAATATATAAAGAGTTTTTTAAAAATCAGTATAAAAAACTTCATTGAAAATAGGTAGAGGCTGGTGAAAATTTATAGAAAATAAAATAGAATGACTTTTAATCATGTGTAAAGTTTCTCAACTTCCCTTATACTAAGAAACAGACAAGTCAAGACTTCAAGAAAATATCGAATTTCACCCATCAGGTTAGCAAAGGTCAAAAACGTGATGACATGCTATGTTGTGGGAAAATGAACTCTGCCATCCATTGCTAATTGGAGTGTAAATTGGCAAACCTCTATGAAAGTCAATCAAAATATAGGACGCACATACTGTTTGACCCAGCAATTCAGTCCCCATGCAATTCTCATGCAGAGAGAATTTAAAGTTCCTGTACTCCAAAGTAAAGAAAGAAAAACGATGACTGTTCTTTGGCCTAGCCCCAAGGCACAAACAAGTCACCACTCCAGCCTTTTTCAGAGCCATCCCAATCAATCAGTGAAAATCAGACTTCATCACTGCACTTCTTAAAGCCAGCCATAAGCAACAGGCTTACCCAAACTGCCAACATTCTGCAGCTAAGGGTCACCTATCTCTCAACACCCCTGCTCCAAAAAGTCTGTCAGTCCCCGGACTCAGTGCTTCCCCACCCTGTATTAGATCAGCTGTGCTTTCTTTTGATAGAATGTGCCCTACATCCCTTCTTTCCCGCTGTGTAACAAGCTATAAAGTCAGGTCTTGCTTTAGATATTCAACAGTAGCCTTTTTCAATCAATCCAAATACTCACCCATGTGAGAAACATCACACGCATAAGGAGAATCAACAAATCGCTGCTTAATATAGAAACAGATTATAAACAATGCAAATAATTTAAAAGGCCCAGTAAATTAGAAAGCCAGAAACACCAGATGTCTCCTTGGAAGGGAAATAGTTGTCATGGGCCAATGGACAAAGGAAGAGATACATACATTTCATTTAATCGTTTGAGTGCTTTTTCAACTTTGCATGTATTACACTAATAAAGGATAAGTTATTTAAAGTCAGAATTTCAAATTGAATGTGTAATATGAAAAGAAAGCATATGAAATTGATAGCAAGACAATAACAGCTGTTATTTATAAATAATTGGAGAATAGTTTTTTAAATGTCTTTTTCTCTAAATATTCCATAATGTTGTGGCATAACTTATCTTTTTCAGTTGGAACTATTTGCAAATGTCATGCTTAGGATCACACAAAAATACAACAATGCAATTATTCCATCGTAAGTTGGCACAGATCAAAAAAATGAGAGTGACAAAAATCGAACCTTACTTATTAGGAGAAACAACCTAAAAGAAAACAGGAATTAGGGAAGTCCAAGTACACCACAGGAGCAAAACTGACAGAATAAGACCTTCTTATGAGATCAAGTCTTCAAGGAAAAGCCCAAGACTCAGGGCAGACTCCAAGCTCCAGATCCAACACTCCTTGATACATTGTAACTGAGAAGCACAACACAAAAGGAAGTTTTCAACATATATGCATTAGTTGTCTATTTTTTTTTTCATTTTATTTTATTATGTTATGTTAGTCACCATACAATACCTCATTAGTTTTTGATGTGGTGCTCCACGTTCCATTCCTCAAAAAATTAAAAATAGAGTTACCCTATGACCCAGCAGCAATTGCACTCCTGGGTATTTACCCCAAAGACACAGATGTAATGAAAAGAATGGCCATATGCACCCCAATGTTCATAGCAGCAATGTCCACAATAGCCAAACTGTGGAAAGAGCCAAGATGCCCTTCAATAGTTGTCTATTTTTTTAAGTAAACTTAACAAAGAGAAGAGAAACGCTTTGATTAATTTTAAATAGATACTATTCTGTCTTCCTCATACACTGCAAATGTTGAGAAGGACCCAGCAGGGTCCACTTCCAGAAGACAGTATCTGTCTGCAGAACCACTACCCATCAGAAAGAGTGAATTAAGTATTTTAAAAGAAACATCTTAATTTCCTTACCCCTGGACAATGAGATCTTGGAGTTCAGAAGCCAGGGTTAGCTTTTTTCTTTCACCAGATAACTCTGTAAAGGGGGAAAAGTGAAACAAATGAAAAACAATGTTGCTTTATTAAAGGCTTTCCTGCCCTGTTGACTAAGGAAGAAAGGAGTATATTAAAACATCCAAACTATCAAACAGAGAACTATTTTCATCAGTCATTGAATATTGATATATTGTTCAGACAGGGCTGATTGATTAATGAGGCTAGTTTCAGAGTTTCAGGTAACCATGAATGCTAAAGAAACTTCTAGTATATTATATTATTCTATTTCTTAAGACAATTTTACCTAGTCCCCGCTCTGCCATTTTCATTTCTGGCCTTGAAATATTTAACTTGGGTTACATGGGTTGCAGAAAGAGTCACACTCCAGGCATACAAGCTTTCTTTCACAATTGTTCATTTTAATTGATGTCTTCATCCAAAAACCTTGACAAGCAAGACATTTTGAAAGATCCCATGATTGAAGTGAAAAAAAAATTAAACTTCCTCCTAAAAAAAAAAGAGTTGTAACTTTTAAAACAAGAAAAAGGCCAATTTTCCAATTTACTCATATTTCTTTTCATGTTACGAAAAATCACTTAAATAATCACTTTCATCTGGACTCATTCATCCGGTTTGAGAATAATATCAGTCTCCTACAATTTATAATTTTTGAAGTTTTCTCCAAATGCCATCATCAGGCAATCTGGCAATATCTATTACAATTAAAAATGCATATGCCATAATTCCATTTCTGGGAATCTATAAAAGCACAGTGGTGCTCACTGCGGCACTTTTAGGAGCCAAGAACTGGGAAGCAGGTTCATACCCACTGATAAAAGACCGGTGGAGTCGGGCTAGGGGACAATGCTGTATCTACCCCCCAGGATGGTAAGCAATCGTTAGAAATAATCCAATAGCATTATACCAGATGACTTGGAAGAAATATCTAAGTGACTTTTGATTACGAAAAGCACGAGGTGGAAAAGTGTACAAAAAGGCTAGTTGTGTGAAAAAAAATCAGTTGTAAAACTAAGCTTCTGTATCCGCGGTTTCCAAGCAGGAGTGATTTCCACCTGCTATGGGACACAGGGCAATGTCTGGAGATATTTTTTTTGGTTGTCACCATTGAGGAAAGGATGCTGCTGGCATCTAGTGGGTGGAGGCCAGGAAGGCTGCTCAGCATCCTGCAGGGCACCAGATAATTCCATAGCAAAGGTGTACCCTCCTCTATAGGCAGACCCTATCATTTCATATTTGCATCATGTAAGTACATGAAGTACATCATGTAAGTACAGAAAACGTAGGCAAATGCACCCACGAGGTGGTCAGGGTAGTTCAATTCAGGAGAGCTGGTTGCAGGGACCAGGTGTGGTGCTGATGAGGGGAGGGGATGCTAATGACTACAGGTGCCCTTGATAAGACCAGGATCACAGGAGTATCTATATAAGGCATAACTTCAAAACTGCACTGAAACCACCCTTTTCACAGATGAAAGAAAAATAAACCCAACTGAAAAGAAAATCCCAACATAAAGGTCATTGAGACTAGGGAAATGATAAATTCGTCAGCAAGGCCTGTGACAAATCACTGTGCCATATTACTTGGATTCCCATGAATAATCATGTCAGTCGCAGTTAATTTGAATTAACTGCACCCTCTTCATATCAATAGTTTGGTATTTTTATCACACGATGGGGAATTCAATTTAAAATAGAGCAGGAACACCAGAACTATGACAAGTGACTCATTCCCTTGGTCTCAATGTCAGTTTGGTTGTTTTTGCTGTTCTTTCCCCCATGGTTAGCATTTTAACTTCTATCCCGCTAGCGAGGACACATCAAAAGGGGTATTCTGTACGATGCCACAGGGGAACCACTTGTCCTAAACTCTTAACTATCAAGTATTCTATGCAGACTTTTGCAAATGCATAAAGCTGGGGTGCGCTTCGGGTAAGCCCCTGTCTCGTGAAAGCCCTTCTGCAGTCTGCCCCCACCTCCTCTGTGCCCAGAGCACACCGTGAAGTCAAGCCTGCTGCAGCAAACACAGCAAAAACCCAAGAAAAGTACCCATTTCTGCCGCAGGTCACGCGCCAGGTCACCGCACGCACAGAAAGCACCAGGAAGGTGAGTGGGCCACGTGGGCAGAGGGGGACTGACTCTGGCTACAGGAGTCTCCCTTCTCTTCCAGGCATTTTCCAAGACCCCCAGTGGGTGCCTGAAACTTCATTTTTTTTTAAGATCTATTTATTTATTTATTTGTCAGAGAGAGAGAGAGAAAGGAGAGAGAGCACAAGCAGAGGGAGCAGCAGAGGGAGACAGAGAAGCAGGCTCCCCACTGAGCAGGGAGCCCAATGCGGGGCTCCATCCCAGGACCCTGGGATCATGAACTGAACCGAAGGCAGACGCTTAACCGACTGAGCCACCCAGGGGCCCCTTGAAACTTCAGAGAGTACCGCACCCACACCCATACTATGTTTTTTCTCCTCTATGCACCTGTCTGTGATAAAGTTTAATTAATTTACAAATTATGCAAGAAAAGATGAACAACAATCACTAATAATAAGATAGGACAATTTTGACAATATTCTATAATCAAAGTGCTGTGAGTATTGTCACTCTCAGAACATCTCACGGCACTGTCCTCACCCTTCCTGCACTGACAGGGCAGGATAAAATGCCCACGTGATGAGATGAAGGAGGTGGGTGACGTGGGCACAGTGACCTAGCTCCAGCTACTACTGACCTTCTGAGATATGTCAGAAGGAGGGTCATCTGCTCCCAGGCAGGAGTAACTGAACCAAGGAAAGCCAAGCCACGGGAAAGGGGGACAACGGTGTCCATCTGAGAAAGTATCTTTTGCGTTCCTGTTTCCAACTCTTCCCAGACTCTCGAGCCTTGATTCCATTTCAAACTGCTCCTCCCTTGGTGTTTGTGCAGCCAAGCCCAGTCAGCCCTGCTCCTTCACTGGGCTCCCCGTGCTTCTCCTCCCACCCTCTACACATGTCCTGCCTTCTCTTTCATATCGGCCCCACTGATGTGCGTTATTTGTTCTCTAATATCCTCTGAAAATGGCCACTCCTCTGACTAGACGACACCAAAATCCTTTGATGCCCACCCTGTTCTGTGGTGCAAGGTGCATTTTCCCTTGCTGGTCTATGTCACAAAGCCCGGAGCCCTGGACCACGGGAGCCAGCAGGTTCTAGCTCCCTGAGCCCTCTGCTGGTGGGTCTGGCAGGGTTGGCAGGGGACACAGATGTAGCCAGCCTCTGTTTACCCCCCAACACTAGTCATAAGAGGCTCTTCCCTGATGCAGGAAACCCTAGGTCCTAGGTACCTCTTCCATGCACCTGACGTGTAGTTAAGGCTGTGGATATACATTGCATTGTAAACTTTTGTTTTTAATTTTCTGTATATTATGTTGTTCTGATATTCTAAAAAAATACCAAACCTTTCGGGCACCTGGGTGGCTCAGTCAGTTAAGCATCTGCGTCCTGATCTCAAAGTCCTGGGATCGGGCCCCACATTGGGCTCCCTGCTCAGCGGGGAGTCTGCTTCTCCCTCTCCCTCTGCTCCTCCCCCTGCTTGTGCTCTCTCTCTCTGTCAAATAAATAAATAAAATCTTAAAAAAAAAAAATACCAAGCTTTTCTGGCTCCAATTCTTAGGGATAGCAAAGGGCCCAGCCAGGAACAGGTCTCTGATATGCAAAGTAACCTGTCCAGAGCCGCAGGGCTTCTCTCTGGTCATCCCACCCTAGGAGACAATGTTCCTCTGCCTTAATCACTGGGCACCACTCCCAACCCCCAAAGCCTGAGGAAATTACTCAAACCAGCCAATGCTAAGCTGCTGTCCCTGCCCTGCTTTGCTTTTCCTGAGGAAACCCCAGGTGGCCTAAGCGCTGCCCCTGACCCTCTTGTCTCCTGCCTCCAGATCACCCTGGTGTCTTCCTCACATGGCCCTGCATGGCGTGCCCTGCCTCCCGCCCCAAAGACCTGTGACTATAACAAACTGAGCCTCATGTTGTAGTTTGTTTGTTCCTGAGTTGTGTCTTCCTGAGCCTCTCCTCTGTCTCCTCTTAAGGCCACACCTGACTGACCACCTCATAAAAAAGTACCACACACACACACACACACACACACACACGCTGCATTGTAATACACATAGAATATGGAGAAGTCCAAAGGTGTTTGTAAGCTGAAGACAAGGACCTCATAGAGGCATCTTCTTGTTGCTTCCACATTTTCTATCAAAATTCAAATTCTTCCCTGCCTCGACTTCCTTCCCTAGCATTCTGATCAGATGACTCTCTAAAGGGCCACCTGTGATGTGAGTCTTGCCCACTCTCCTGAATGGTTCCTTCACTTTATGTAAATTGCCCCCTAAATGTCACCTCCTCCTGGAAGCTTCCTGTGATATGTCCAGCCCTGTTTCCTGGATGTCCAGCCCCCATCATACTCTCTTCCACTGCCTGGACCTCTATGTCTGATAAACACTATTAATGTAGACTGGGTTCTATGATCCCTGTCCCCACACTTACCCTCTCCATCCCCCTGTAAGGAGACAGGCTCAGCTGTCCCAGACGAGGCATAGGCAGATGCTCAGCATAGGTTCATGGAATTCCTTAGTTAATCCATTTTCTGTACAGATGGGAAAGGCCCAGAGAGATGGCACGATCCACCCAAGGTTGCTCAGAGAACTGTAATAATTGGACATTTTGCTTGAGTCCAGAAATCTCTGCCTTTAAGTATTGCTTCACATGGTTTGGTTTGGTTTGGTTTTTCAGGAAAAAAAAATGTAAAGTAACTGATGGGGACTGTTTTTCCCCAAGGGAAGCCCAAAAAAGAAACTGTATATCCTACGAGGAACATAAATATTGCTTAGTCACGAACGAGTATTTCAAGTAATTCTCAGGAATACTGAGCCTTGGCCTTCCTCTTCCCATGGTGAATTAAGGGCCTCAGGGGCTTTTGCACACACAACTTCCGCAAGAGCCATGCATTTCCCCCTGAGAGCTGTCGGTACACCTCGCACCCAGCTTCATTGCCTGGGCCTCCAAGGAAACTCACGCAGAAAAATCAGGCTTGGGTTTAACACCACCTCACCCCAAGTCCCTAGGACAATTAACCTCTGCCCCTTCTTCTATGTTTTGTTTTGTTTTGTTTTGTTTCTCTTCTTCCTTTGGATCTTTCTTCCTCTCACAACCCAACAAACCTATACAGTCAATGTGGGCCTCCCGATTTTAAAGATCAGAAAACTGAGTCTCAGAGAGATTCAGTAACTTGCTCCCTGATAAGACAGCTCACCAGAACAGCACGACCCCAAAATCCAGCACGTCCCTTCATCTCATAGTAAATCCTTATGAGCCCTTTGTGACTGACATGGGATACACAATGGGGAGGACATGTGGGGAGAATGGAGGAGGGTGAAGAGGTAGGAGCTTGGGCTAAGCAGATGTTCTCTGTGAATCTGTATGAACTTTGGGCACGTTACTACTCACCCATACTAAGCCTTAACCGTCTCGTGCAAAAAATAGAGAGAAAATGGTATTGTCCTCAAAAAACTGATGTAGGATTAAGTGAGACAATATAGGAAAAGTGTATTAGCCCTGCATCTCATCAATAATGTGGTAGATAAATACGTTATCCCTGAACCTGGACGGAGGGATGTGAGTGTGTGCATCTGCTGGTGTGTGTGAGGAAGGATACACAGCCTGGTGTCTGCCATGAGCCTATGTGTGCAAAAGCTCTTACGGTGGAGAGAGGCGGGAACCCTGAGCTGGGGACTTGACCCTGGAGAAACAGACTCGCTTATAAGTGCTGTAATCCTGTTTTTTTTCTGAAGGGCCAATCCCCAGCCACTGACAAGCTGGAGAGCCTGAGTAAGCCATGCTCCCAGGAACAGCAGGGACAACAAGCAGCATGTGACAGTGGAGGGGGGCAACCCAGAACACCTCAGTGAGCAGGGAAGGTGATGTGAGTAATCATAAGGGGACATGAGCATCTTCAAACTCCTGGTTTTCTTAAAATGCTACTCTTTCCTTTTTCTAGTGAGTAGGGTTGACAGATTTAGCAAATAAGAAATGAGAATATAAAGTATGGCCAGTTAAATGTTAATTGTAGATCAACAATGAATATATTTGTACCATAAGGACATCCCATGCTGTGTTAGGTAACTCTCGCTTTGAGCAATGGTGGTTTCTATGTACCTTTTCTCTAGTGTAACCATCACACGTGACTGTGTTTGAAACTATTGGTCCTCGTGTCACAGGAATGATTGATCAGGGATGGCCCTTAAAACACCAAATCAGGGACACCTGGGTGGCTCAGTCAGTTAAGCATCCAACTCTTGGTTTCAGCTCAGGTCATGATCTCAGGGTCGTGATACCGAGCCCTGTGTCAGGCTCCGCACCCGTATGGAGCCTGCTTAAGATTCTCTCTCTTCCTCTGTTCCCCCCCACCCTCTCTAAAAAAAATTAAAAAATAAAAAAACACCAAATCAAAGAAAGGGAAACCAAAACATCACTGTTACGGCTATTTTCATTTACCCTGCAGTGTCAATGAAAATCTCTCATTCTGTGAATATCTCCAAAATACATGTTTTTAGTTTTTTTTTTTAAGTCTCAAAATACCTATTCTTTTCATTAAAATACCAGCCATTTAGGAAGGCTATGTTTCTTTCTTCCAAATAAATAAAATAAACACTTCCATTTACGTTTTTAATCACTCTGTCCCCATGCGAGATAACTATTATCAATCCCGGAGGAAATTTTCCACAAAGTCAGTGCTGCTTTAGTTCACACTATCAAAAGTTGCCATATGGTCTGCGAGGAATTACAAATATTTAAGTTTTGTAAGCACTGTGATCTCTTTAAAAGCTTAGAAACCTCAGATTTACAATAAAGACTATTTCGAAAGGCTTTAAATAAGTGTATATGAGTCAAATTCTCGTAAAAGAACAAAAGGACAATTTATTTGACTAGGGAAAAACTATGTCAAAAATCCCACCTCCAAGAGTTTTGAGGTACAACTGGAGAAGGGCAATGAGAGCATCTGCCTGGTGTTTGAGTCTTGTGCATCGCTTTATTTTACACACGTATGAATTTCATTTGATAGGCTTGCACTCTACTCAGGACAAGAGCAGAGAGTTATCCAATGCACGTGGCCCCGGTATTGACCCCGCCACAACGGTCCTTGAGCAGAAACACATTTAATAATTGTTCTCCAAGAAGTTTGTGCCTTGTTCAAGCAAACTTGTCAAAGGATGCTTTGCAAGGTGTCTTGTACAAAGGATCCTCTGAGGTGCTTGATTTAGAGCCAATGCTCCGAGAGCCTAATCCTCTGCTGTGCTGATTTGGTGGGCAGGGAAAGGCCTAGGACCCTGCATTTCAGACGTCTGACCCCCCACCTGACCCAAGTGCCAGGTGTTTCTCCGAACACACTTCGCACATCCTGAAGAACTGTGTCGTATGCTCTTGAAGGCACTCAGATCTATAAAGATGTGGGCCAGGCTGCAGGGATAACATCAGGGATGGCTTACAGATTTCTGCTCTCAACAGCACTCCCATTCAGGGCAGAGAGAAGAGGGGAAAAAAAAAATAGATCTCAGGATGCCCAGGGTACAGTGAGCTGCCAAGTTCCTTCTCGTCCCCTCTCCAGGTCCTGGGTGTGGTGGTGAATTCAGAAAAGCCGAGCTTGAGGGGTGCCTGCCTGGCACCTGTGGGTTAAGAGTCTGACTCATTTCAGCTCATGTCATGATCTCAAAGTCATGAGATAAAGACCCGCCTCCGGCTCTGGGCTGAGCGCAGAGTGGGCCTGAAAGTTCCTCTCCCTCTGCGCCTCCCCCCACGCTCATGCATACTCTAAATAATCTTAAAAAAAAAGAAAAAAACATTAATGCCACAAAACTCTCCTTTGGTTTTGAACGCCGTCTTTCTATCTCAAACACTACCCACGAGAAGAGGTTTGGTGTCACTCCTCTCTTGTGACTTAGAGAAGTGACCTAAAATAGCAAATAAAATTTTCTACTTGTTACTTACTACAGACATGAGCAGCTTGTACCTTTAAATGGCCACAAGTTCTTGTCACGGTTACCTGGAGTACTCTCAGTATGACTTCTTTTAGGACACAAGTCATGTTATAGTGCAAAAAACAAAACAAAACAAAAAAAGATCACCAAGGACAATAAAAGTGCCCTCTTCCTACAATTAGCAAAATCAAGATAAGACCTCAGAGCTCATGGCAGGATAGCTCGGTAACAGGAGCTCAGCCTGGGAGCCTGACTGCTTGGGGTCCTGGTTCAGCTCCTCCCCCAACTCCCCAGCTGACTACTGTCAGGCTTCTGTTTCTTCATCTTTAAATCAAAGAAAATTCCAGTACAGAAACTGGGGAGGAAGGACCTGGAAACTGCTAAGGATGCTATGAGGTTTAAATGAGTCAACTGATATCAAGTGCCTAGTATCAGGTATGTAACACGTGCTCGAAAAATATTAATCACCATCACCAGAAGAAGAGAACATTCACAGAGCATTGATGCCCCCGCCAGTTCCGTGGACAATCATGATAGTCTTTTTGCACATCACTAAGTAAGAAACGGCTCTCACTGATTGTTAGTTCCATCTGTCCACTGGCCACACTAAGTGACATCCATGTCCCCCTCTCCCTAGGGCGTGAGCACATGTGCAGTGTCTGAACTAAGACTCTGTCCTCCTTGCACTTTTTAAACCTGAATCGATTAATTAACTATAGTCTTTGCTACAAATTTGAGAGCAATTTCTTTCCCTGAAATGAAACAAGGGTTCCTTCTTCTGTCTCTGTTTGTCTTCCTCTCTGTGTCTCCTACCCTCTCTCTCCTCCATTCTTCGGCTCTGTGTCTGTGTGTGTGTGTCTCTCTTACACACCCACATATAGACACACATACAAGCATGCACACCATCTTAACACAGAAGTAGAACATTGAGGAAAAAATACCCAACTGGTTAATTTTCTAACATAAACATTCTTCTTTCCTATGGGTCCTCCACCCACCATGTGAACAGAATTGAGAAACTACACAACCCTGATAAAGTAAATGACTCCAAACTTGCTTACCTCAGCCCACCCTTGAAACTCTCTCATTCCTTCCCCGCCCCCCAGGCCCCACTTAGCTATGTAGCGAACACACATAAGGCTGAATGTCCCGGAAAACGAATGAGCAAATAGATTTACCCACAGAGAGGCAATGTTTTCTCTGCATCCCAATTGTTGTTAAATACTTTGGGGCCAACATGCAGTAAGACAAGCCAATAATCACCACCTATCATGGCTCTTTCAGTTCGTTGCCCTCACAGATGAAGAAGGAAAGTCAGAAAGCCCCAAATCCTTTCACCTGGGGATGTACTTGGAAGCTTTACACATCCAGACAGAACATCCAAGGTGCATATGGTGGAAGAAAGAGAAATACTACAAGAGAAGTCATTTATTTTTTTTCTAAGCTTTAGTGAGATGTTATTGACATAGAACACATATGATAATTTGATGCACCTATCTATTGTGAAACCAAAATCAGGTTGGTTAACACCCCATTCCCTCACACAACTACCGTTTTTGCTGTGTGGTGATAACACGTAAGATCCACTCTCTGAACAGCTTTCAAGGATGTAATTCAGAGCTCGTTTAAAGATACTTAGAGCAGAGTAGTCTAGCTCTAGGCCCCTGT